ATATACTTTCGAAACAAAAATCCAGAAGATAAAGCAAGAACTTTTAACAAGTACTTTGGACTGTTTGTGCGAAAGATGAAACAAATGAACAGTATCTTTATGACATGCAGGACCTCATCGACCATTTACCCAAATTGCCTGAAATCCAGCAACAAAAGCTACTATTCCAGAATTCGATGAAATAGAAGTCAAAGCAACTGACTCAGTAGAAATAAAGAAGTTCATACGAAAGGTTAACTATGAGTTTCTTGGATTTCATTGCAACCACAAAGTCATGGACAAAAGATTGCGATATGGTATATAAGAACATCTCTGACATATACAAATCTGGGGAGTTTAAGACCTACGACAACTTTGTTTCGTTAGTTGCTAATGTGTATGGCAGATAAGGAAAAGATAAAGATAGAAGAGGTAAGATATGGAATGAACAGAATAAAACCCGCAACTTTTGAGTTAAAGAGAGCAATTGACGCCTTAGTCCATACTACAGGTAAGGTTTCAGAATATAACGCAAAAATGAACCCGCCAATGTTTCAAAATGTAAGCAGCCATTAGGAAATATAACTACTCGTCAAAGAGATAGAACGTATGAGAAACGACTATGCTGACTTAAAGAAAGAATATGTCAAACATTGAGTTTGAACAGTTTGAAGATAGACAATGACACCAAAGTGGTAGAATAGGTATTTAAACGTAAGATACTCAAAGAAATACAAACAAATATTCTTTGTCAGACATTTTATCTCCATCTGGAAAGAAAGCAAAGGACTGGGTTAGAATTGCTTCTAGTCAGAAAATTTTGACAAGAAATCCTGAGCTTATGATATCGGTAAGATTCTATGGAACTACAGCATATCTCATCGACAAAAGTCTTATACCAATAGTTTTGTTATGGTTAGACCCAGTTGTTGGATATAACTTCATAACATATGGTTTATTCGACTCAGAACGTTGCAGTGAAGGCTTACTTTACATCGTTCAGAAACCGAAGGACTTCAACACAAAAAGATATAAGATAGGAAGAACATATAATATAACTCTAAGATATGACAGTACAGTCAATAGAGTCAAGGTTGTGTTGGTTAACGATATGAGAGCTGCTGAAACAGAACTACTTGAAAAGTTTGAGAAAATGTATGGTGCTCCCATAAAAGGTAAAGAAACGTTTGAAGTAGATGAGATAGATAAAGCTATAAAATTATTTGACGAAGTTGCTGAAAAATACATGTAAAAATAACGTTTACCATGTAAAACGCTTATAAAATAACTGGGGTAGAAAAGAGGGTAGAAGACAGGTTAGATCTAACCTTCTACCCTAAAATATATTTTTGCTGAATTCAGCAACAAAATTCTGAGTAAAATGGCATAAGATTGCTTCCCTCGGAAACAGTGAAGAACAGCGAGTAGGTAAGAAACCTTAGTCGCCAAAACTCTATGAAAAACAGTGAAATTTCTCTAGACCGACTTCCTTCGGGGTCGCCAAAACTCTATGAAATCATGAATTTCCTTAAGACAGAAAAAATAAAGTTAGTTTTATTTTTATTTATTTTTTTATTTTGTATGTAAGGACAGATATGTCAACAACAGAGAACACAACAACAGTTATAGTCCATGAAGCCATAAATGAAGAATATGAGTGGGTTCAGTTTAACAAACAGTTACGTCTCATTCGTTCGGTCAAAGACGATATGTACCAAATGCAAAGTATTTTGACAGCATGTTTTGCTCCAGATACTATGAAACCACAAGATTGGTTTGAATTAAATAGCACTCATGAACTCCTCAGTGAGTTTGAACATGTAGAACTTAAAAAGATGTACCAAGACAGACAAAACTTACCATCACATCTAAAAGGTATATATGTTCATAAGTTCCTAGTTAGTTCAATAGCAATGTGGGCTTCACCTCGTTATGCAATCTACATACTTATGCTACTTGACGAACTTTGTACAAAGCAGAGAGAAGATATGATGAAAGAAGACAAAAGCATTCAGAAAAGAATACCACGTTCGGTACCAAAAGGAAAGGAAAAGAACTATAAGTATATGATTTATACTGAAGAGATGGAAAATGAAGAAGATAAAGATATGGTTATGTTGCATTTAGTCAGAAGAAACAACAAAAGCTTTTACGACCTTGCTAAGATTTACAAATCTGACAGAAATTGGTTCTATCGCGAAAACTTACCGATTTCAATGACCCCAAATGAAGATGTGAAACAAATAGTTCAAGATACGTTACCTCAAACACACTATGATATGAAAGGTTGTACAATTCTTACCTTCAAAGAAGATTTGCCATTGTTAAAGGAAAAAATAACAGAGTATTTTGACAACTTCAAACAAGTAGGGTAGATGAACCATTTATTTTTTACGCTTGACTTCAGATGGCTCAGGTAGCTCTATAAAGTAAATTGCCTCGTCAAATCCTTCTGGCATTCCGAGTCCTTCCTTCCGACATTCCAAGTTCTTCCATCCGACAGAAAAAGTTTTTCCATCCGACAAGAAAAAATTTTCCCGACAACTGGAAAAAATTTTCCTGTTGTCCGTCCGTAAACCATTCAAATTTTCGAAAATTGAGAACTTTTTTCCCGACAACTGGAAAAATTTTTCCCGACAACTGGAAAAAAATTTCCCGACAACTGGAAAAGTTTTTCCCGACAACTGGAAAAGTTCTTCCTTCCGACAGGACACAAACGAATGTCTCACGTCCCTCTTCCTGAATGTCTTCCAAAGCCAGAAGAACCGACAGCCCCAGCACCACAACAGACTTACTAAGACTAAACACTTACATTTTTCAAGCTTGACTTTTTACAATTTGAACTTTGTTCGCGTAGATATGAATTCTGAAAGAAGTATGAGGGTCTTGTATGACTTTGTACTTCTCCCATAGTTCATGTCTGTCAAACTTACCTGCCATGGACTCTTTCATAAGTTCCATGAAATCGTCTTCGGACAATCCAGGGAAAAGTATAATGTCAGTAAGTATTCTTTTAACATCTTTACTTAAACTCTTTGCTGTCTGTACACAAATGACAACAGAGATGTTAAAGTGTCTGAGCTTCTTAAGAATTCGACACATATCTTGTTCTCTATTCTTTAACAAAGGATGAGAGGCGAAATCATCTAAGATAAGAAGACATCTGTGAGGGTAAGTCTTCCAATCGTAAGATTGCAATTTCTTCGAAATGTATTCTATCTCTTTCTGTTTGTTTCTGAAGTGTTTCTTCTCTAATATTCTCTGCATTTCCTCATTTGGGTCTTTAAACCTCGAATTGACATACTCATTTATAGCATTATACTTCAAAACTCTTCTTTGGTACTTCTTTATCCAATCTAACAACTCAGTATCCTTTATACATACTAACTTAGACTTCTTTATAATATCTTTGAACGAATTGACGGTTTGGTCAAATTGACCAGAAGTACTACAAATAACAACTAACTCATAGAATGGGTTCTTCTCATCTAGTTCTTGTTGTTGTGCAGCCATTTTAAGATAAGTGAAAGTCTTACCCGACCCAGGTGGTGCGATTAGACCTGTTATACCATTCTGAGCAAATAAGAACTTGTCATGTATGGGTTTTATCTGAGCATTTTCCAACTTCCTCTTGTTCTTATTTAAAACATTCTCAAATTTCTTGTCAATGTCAGCAAACTTTTTTTCTAACATATTTTTAGAAAAATTAAAATTTTTATCTTTTTGAAAATGTCGAGCGATTTCGCTATCTATATTCGAGACAAACTTTTTGACAGCAAAACATCTGTCGACCATAAAATCTTACATAGTGTAAACAAGAAAGGTGAATTTGTTCTAAAGTTCTGTTTCTGGGAATATGACAAGAACCATAAAACATTAGGCAGAGAAGTCTTAAAATTTGTCAATGACAGACTTGTTGACAGAGATGACGCCTCTTGGAGAGATGAAGTCCAACAAAAGTTCTTAGAATGCAAAGAAGACACATGCGCTGTTCTTGAAGATGAAATAGGAAACAGAATAGAAGAGCTATTAAAGGACAAAGAACTTTTACATAAATATGGTTCTGAGAAATTTGACATAACTCCACCAGAAAAGAAGAAGAAGAGAGAGAAGAAAGAAAAGAAAGTAGAAGAAGAGAAGAAAGAGCCAGAGCCAGAGCCAGAGAAAAAGAAATTTGACATGTAAAAATAAAATTTTATTTTTAGAACATTTCTGGGTCAATGTCAATGTTCTCTTCCTCTTTAGGAGCAAACACTGGCTTAGACTCTAAAATCTTTTTACCCAATTTACCTTGAACTTCAACTATCTTAGACTCATAATATTCATAGTCGTCTGCTTTCTTTGGTTCATAAGGTATAACAAGTTTGTATGCTTTGCCTTCTTTAAGGTTTGAAAACCTTCTGTCAAAATTTTCTTTGACTGCTAACAAACCTTCTATGTCTAAGTCTTCAAATTTCGCACCATTTTTAGTCACAATAGCAAACTTAACTGGTTCGATGTTCCAAACTTTGTCAAATGTAGACTTTTCAAAATGGTAGAAGTAAACATTCAAATAAGCGAATGGGTCTAGTTCTTCTTTGACTTCTGTCATGTACTTATTTACTGAGATGAATTTCGTCATCTTTTCTATCGGATAAAAAAAAATATTTTTTTTAAAATTTACTCAGAAAAATTATTTCTTTCTATATTTGCCATTCCGAACTTCGAAAAGATGTTTTATACCAGCATAGAATTTTTCTCTAGAGCTTGGTCTTATATCGTTTTCATGACAATATTTTCTATATTCTTCATATAAAGCCTTTTTTTCATACATTTCATAAGGACAATCTAACCAGAATAGCGCATATCCGTTATTTTGCTCCCATCCGCTTAAAACTCTTTTTGTCTCTTTGTTTCTGACTTCAAATGACTCACAACAGTGAATTTCATATTTCTCATCTAACAAACAAGTTTCCCAACGGTCTTCTCCAACAAACTCAGCGTACATTTCAAATAAAATAAAAAAATACTGTTTTTAAAATTTACTCAGAAAAATTTTTCTTTGTATATACGCCGTTCTGAACATCTAAAAGATTTTTGACATTTGCCAAGAATGTACGTTTAGACGCTGCCATATAACCATATTCTTGACAATACTGTTTATATGAATCGTACAATGACCTTTCATCTAATGACACAAAGTCAGTTTCATCTACGAACAGTTCATAAACACTCTTGTTTGCTTCTAACAATGTTTGTCTCTCTTCGGTATATGGAATTTGTCTTGGATTGAACTTAGAAATATCTAATGTCATGAAATATGAGAACAAGTGGTTGTAAAAGTCAGATGTCAAACATTCTGACAAAGCGTCAAAATATTCTGTATCTTGCATACGAGAATCTGACGTTCTGACAACTACATATCTTCTGTCAGAACTTTCTAACTTCATCGGAACAGCATTGTTTGAAACCATAATGAAGTTTGCAACATTTTCACAAACTCTTTGGTCTTTATATTTTCTTTCAACAACTCCAACTTTATCTGTTATAAGACTCTTCAAAGCATCTGAGTTCAAAACTTTTGTTGTATCTATACTTTGAAGTTCATTGCAAACTATAAGTTTCATATTCTCAATTGAAGAGTTAAACTTGCCACAGATGTTTTCTATGTTTGTCATATTCGGATTCGAATAACCTTCTAACAGTTTGCACAAAATATCTGTAAAGAATGTGTTCTTACCTGTTCCTTGTTTTCCAATTATAATGAGAGCAGTTTCATTTTTAGCACTTGGATGTTGTAAGATGTTTGCAAACCAACATAAGATATACTCATAAACCTTTTCGTTTCCATTGCATATAATTTCTTTGACATGGTCTAACCAAGCTTCTATAATATATTCTTTCCATTCTACTTGTTCATATTTATATCCAGTGAAGATAGAATAGAAGTTTGGAGAAGGTGTATAAAACTTTATACCACGAACTGAAAAATCTTCTAACTTTGACAATAAGATATCCCAAGCATCTAACATCTTCATGCCAACTTGTACGACTTTTATTTTCTTAAGTTTCTGTCTACATTCTTGTTCTGAAACTATTGTCGCTCTTGGTTTGTTAAAGACAACATCCCATTCTTTCATGACATAACATTCTGGGGCAGAGTCGACATAAATGACTAAACGTTTCAAATTCTCGACTGCTTTGTTATAGTCTCTAAATGGACACATATTTCTGAAGGCTTGGAAGTCATAAAAATCTGAAACATCTATTCTGTACATTTTTATAAAAATAAAAAAAATATTTTTTTTATTCTTGACTTTGTTGTTGCATTTGTTGTTCTTGAGCTATTTGTTGTTGAAGTTGTTCTTGTAATACAATACTTTCACCAGTTGCATCTTCCAATTCGAAACTTTCTGCCGTCATTGACAAATACATAGGACATAAAAGTTTTACAGGAACAAAGTTTGCGTCAACTAAGGTTAAGTTTATGTTTGCTAAAGTGTTTGAGTTTACTAAAGCTGAAAACTCTGCATTCGAATGAACAATAGGCAAACCAGCAGAGAAAGTGTTGTTTATACGCATGAGTATCTTTTGGTCATAGTAGTTTCTGTCGACATTCGAATAGCACTTTGAACCTAAGTTTGAAACAATATATAAAATAGGTGTGCTTAAAGTCAATGGAACAGACATTCCTTGTATGACACCTTTTCCTGTTATAGGAAACTGTTGGTAGTAAAAACCAGATATAAGTTTTGTATTATAGCTCATATCGTTTATAGTAAACTCAGTCGGACATCCAAACATAATGAAACCTGCTCTAGTTGCAGCACATGTTACATCCGTCCTTAAAGTATTAAATAAGTCAACAAAACCTGTTGGTGGTATATCTGAGTAAGTATCTTCAAAGAAGTATTTTTTACCATTCACAACAACAAAGTCTTCTGGTGTCAAAAGAGCAAAACAGGCTTTAGTCGTCATTGTGTTTAAGGTTAGTTTACAATATCGTCCTTGAGGACTTTGTAAGTTTGTTGTTATAGAATTATATGACTCAGGGTTTTTAGTCGTAATAGTATAAACCACTATGTCTTCTGCCATTTTACTTAGCAAATAAATTTTAATGAAATGTTGTGGTCGTCAAATATTTTTATGACGTCTGGGAAACTATATTTTAAGTTCAAGGTTTCACCTCCTTTCATAACGTATATCTTGTCAATGACATTATATGAAACACCACAGCAAGCAATGTCAGGTTCTATTTCTTTGATGTTTATATCGTCTGCCTCTGTCAAAAGTTTCAATAGTTCTTTCAAAACTTCATGAGGTGCGATGACATATGAGTTCACTTTTACAGGGTTGTGTTCAACCAAGTTTAACATTAGACCTAAAGCTTGACAAATCTTCTCCTGAGTTTTAAGCTTATCTTTCAGTTGCATGTAGTCGTTTCGAATATCTGCAACAGAACTTAAGTCTCTGCTAACTTCAGGGTATGTTGGTTGTTCTTTTACAGGAACTATTGTTATACCATCTTCGTCTTCGTATGGTTTCCCACTTCAACATCTCTTTCTTTGACATTGACAACAACACTTTGACTGTTTGTTTGAGTTGGTGAATTTAACTTCACATCTGCCATCGCCATTAAACCTTTTGAAACACTTACGCTTCTATTTTTCGGAAATGACATTTTACTTAGAATAAAAAGATGGACGTATTCGAGTATCTCTTCGAATTGAAGCAAAACAAAGTTTACACACACAAACAATACAAATACATTGACAGAATAGTTCTTTACACAAACAATGGAAAATGTTATAGAATAGCAGTCTTTGCTGAACCAAAATATTTTCATAAAGCAAAGAAAGTTGGTATAACCGAATGGTGAAAGTTCTTGAAGCAGACAAAAATATAACAACAAAACTTACAGATATTTCTAAAGGTAAGTTTATAATACAATTTTATGTCAAAACAGGTGTCATAACTATTTACGATGGTGAGAAGTCAGTTCAAGAACAACTTACTGACCTGCTGCCAAAATCTGCTCGATGGAAGCTGTCGTTATGCCAATCTGAGGAGCTCCAGCAGGTTTCATCGAACGAATTTTCAAAAGAGCATCTTCCGTGAAAAGTGCTATTGGTTTTGTAAACTTCTTTGCTTTCAATTCATCTGGACCGTCTCTGTCACCAGTATATTGTATTTGAACTGTACCAACAGTTGAAATACCACCCATAAAGTCTTCTGAGTCAGCAAATGGAATGCCAAGCCAAAAGTTTGAACGGTCTCCATTTGTATATTGAGTTTTTTGACCTCCTGTATGAGTCCATACTTTCACATATGGCATAATAGAACTTTGCATTTCAGGGTTAATGGTTGTTGTGAAGTTGTTGTTAAAGTTCATAGCATCTAATGTCAAGTTGTATGACCTCATATCCTCAACTGTAGAATATTCTTCTTTGGATAATATTTGCCATCTATGTTTATATGATATTTAATACCGGGGTTGTAGAAACAAGAATAGTCATTTATAGTTCGTCTGAACAGTACAAACATAGTATCTGCATGTTTCATTGCAGTTGTTAAAGCAATATCTGTTCTTGCACCTGGGTCAGCACTTTGGTTTCCAACTTCACCTGCAAAGTCTTTGACAGATATTTGGTGTATAGGGAACATAAGTGGAACTGCAATATATTTGGCAGCTAAAGCATTTGAAATATCTGGGTCCAACATATAGACTGCAAGTCTGCTTTCTATTCTCTTGCATTCAAATTTTTCGCATGTGAACTTAACTGGGTCCCAAGCAGTTCCAGCAGCATTGAAATAATAGTTTACTTCAGTGTTGAAGTTTGAGAAACCAAAGTCTAAGTCAACTTTGTCTTTGCAAAAGTCACAGAACTTGGCTCCACCAGTTCCAGCTACAGTAATAGTGAATGGGTCTTGTGTTGGTGCAATGACTAAGTTATTTTGCTTGGAGTAAGTTCGATAGAAATTTTTCCTGCCCAGTTTGGCAAGTATCTTAAAAACCTGAAGATGAGGAAAGATGACAAAGGAACTCTAAGTTTCAGTTTTACTTTAGTGGCAGCAGTTCCATCTGAACCAGAAAGGTTAACATAAACTCCTGGAACGTTAGGGTCAAGTCTTCTTATTTTCTCAATAGTTGCATACTGGTCTGTTTGTTCTCTAGCTTGTGGTTGTACTGAGTTTCTCAAAGCGAACCATTCATAGTTTGCCCATGTTACTGTTTGAACTAAGTCAGAGTTAGAATATATCTTATATCCCATGAAAACTTCTGGAGCATATTGGTATCCGACATAGAAAATTCCATTGCAACCTTTCTTGTCAGACAACTTGGCAGAAGGTTTTATTTCAATGTCTTGTTCCACGTATAAGAAAGAGTTGTCAATAGAAATTATATGAAACCTGTCGCAAGCAATATCTACTGTTGTTGAAGAACCTTCTCCAAACTCACCTACGTTTCCATAAGAAACAGCAGTTGTATATTCGTAAGTTCCAGGAACTATTTCTGACCTTCTAATGGCATTGTCGCATTCGTTATACCATTCGGAAACATTTCCGTTCATGGCATCCAAAACTGTTGGCGTTATATTCTGAGCGGCGTACATTTCATATGGGTAAAAATATAGAATAGTTGTATTTATGTGTCATAATAGAACCCACTCGGACCAAGCTTTACTTTCTTCCTGACTGAGTTTTTAACTCTTCTTTTTCCTTCATTGCCCTCTGCTTGAAGTTGTTGCATCTTTGCATTATGTTCATCTAGTATGTTGCAAATTTCCCATGTCCTTTTTGCCTTTTGGCTCTGGTCGCCCATCTCAGGTAACCTATATCCTAGAAAGAGTTTGTCATAGTTTGTATTTGAGTCGTCGCTTATTGTTTGCATGACTCTTTCCTGAGTTTCCGGTTCAAGCTCTTCAAACAGTGCCTGTCCATATGGAATAAGCTCGTTTCCAAATATATGTTTTTGTAGCCATTCTGGTTTTCTTTCCATGTTACCAACTATATCTTTTGTGAATGGGAAAGCTTTTACCCAATCTTTCAGTCTTGCGTCGTTTATTTCTGTAGTTGGTTTTATTTTGTCAAGGAACATGTTTTTCAATACTAACATTTCATTTGGTACTGTCCATTTGAGTTTACTTAAATATTCATCCCTTCTCGGTTCATTGTCTGCAAAGTAAGTTTTTATGACATTTTGTAAACTTTCGTTTGCAAGGTCATGTACAATAGGTTCTCTTCCTTCGCTCTCCCTAACTTTCTTTCTAAACTCTTCACCAAATATACCATCTTATGGTTCTGTGTAGTTCTTTGAGATAAATGTTTTAGAACGTCAGGTGTTATATTTCCATCAGCCATGTTCATTTCATACTGGTCCAAAATATCTGCATCTTTCATATCTTTCAATGGCATTAAAGCCGCGCTGAAAATACCAGCTACATCTGGTTCACCATTCACTTCCATTGCGTCTACAACTTCTTGGAATTGTGGTTGTAAGTTTATGAACCACCTATCCGGATTAGCTTTATGACCCCATCTCATTGTAGTTCCATCGTCTGCAGAAACAAAAGTAGGTTTGTTTCCATCTTGGTTAGGTTCTGAATGAACTTTAAACAATGTTTCATTTCTATATGTTTTCTTGAAATTTAACCTTTTATTTTCACCGAGTTCATCCAAAGATTGAACGTTAAATGCTCGTAAGTAAAAAAGGGTTGTTGTATTTGTGTACATTTTCTTTCAGTTCTTCCATTCTATGCTGAATATTTTCATCTGGTGCTGGAGTCTTTTGTATGTCGGCAAACATTTTTCGATATTCTTCTACTATGTCAGCCGAATTTTTTTTAGACTCTTGGAAATATTCCATATTCTCCGCATACTCTTGTTGAGGGTCAAGATTTTTCGGCTGTTCCAAATCTTCATCTAGTTCTGTGAAGTTAGTTTCCAAAGGAAGGACTTGTTCGTTTCCTTCAGGCTCTTCTAGCTGTTGTTGCTGAACTATTTCTTCCATGTCTGGTTGTATCTGAACTTCTTCCTGTGGAGTTTCTTGTACCTCATCTGCTGGCATTTCATATATTCCGAGACCGTTTTTAAAAAGTTCCCTATCTAAGTCATCCGGACTCATAAACCTTTCTTCTTTCGTTCCGTCTCTATTTTTTACGCGTTTCATGAAGAGAGTTGAATTGTCATTTAGCTCTGACATCAAATATCTCGGAGTAAATTCATCCATGTCATTTGGATGATATGCTATTAAATCATATCCCTTAGCGAGCTTGTATTTTCCAGGTTTGAAATTATATCCCATTTGGTGCTGAACCATAAAGCTAAATAGGTTCGGGTCAGTATTTCCTTCCTTGAACTTTCTAATAGCTTCTTTATATCTGTCACTAAAGTCAAGAGTATCTGGGTAACCATAGTCTTCCTTAAGCATTTTTAAGAATTCTTGGTTTCCTTGTTCTCTACTTCTTTTATGTCCTTGCTCTGTTTGTTGTGCAGGGTTTTGAACTGTTGGTTGTTGTGTTGGTTTTGGTGCTGGATTTTGAACTGTTGGTTGTTGTGCAGGGTTTTGAACTGTTGGTTGTTGTGTTGGTTTTGGTGCTGGATTTTGAACTGTTGGTTGTTGTGTTGGTTTTGTTGCATGCTTGTGTCTGTGTCCATGTGACGATGTAAATGTTTTAGGTAGTCCTGGTGCAGGTGCTTCTCTTGGAGGGTTTGGTGGTATATAAATTCCAACAGCTGGTATATAAGTTCCACCAGCTGGTATATAAGTTCCACCAGCTGGCACATATGTTCCATCTGCAGCATAGTGTCCTACCTGACTTTTCGTTTTTAAGAAAGCATTTACTAGGTCTGTTTTGGTCTGTTGTAACTCTTTTTCTTGACTTTCCACAACAGTTGCTCTAACGGCGTCATAGGCACTTTGAACTGCCTGTCTCGTTGCTGCATCTGTTATTTTCGTCATATTTTGTGCTACTTCTTTTAACTCTTTGTCGAAACCTTCAGACTTCAGTTTCTTTCCAGATGAGAAGTCGTTCACTTGTTTCACCTTACTATGAAGAGCTTCGAAAGCGTTCTTAAAGTCAGCATTTGTTAAAGCTTCATTTGAACTATCTTCATCCGCTTGTATTTTTGTCCTTATTGACCCTATGAGTTGGGCTGCTTTAGCGTTGGCTTGGGCATCTAACCAGTCATTGTTAGCTTTTATATATTCTGCGCTTTTCATTGCCTTTTGCATGGCTGCGTCGTTATTTTTACTTTCTTGTGCTAAGTTTTCATACTGTACGGTTTGGTTTTGCAACTGTAAAAGTTTTTCTGCCTTTACATTTGCTTCAACTTCTTTTTTATACTCATCGCTATCCATATATGTCTTCAGGGCTTTTTGTTTTATCTCTTCATCTTTCAGTACTTTATATTGAGTAGTATGGTTTTTCAAATTTATGACATCTTGTTCCATTTTTGCTACTTCTGTTGCTTTTTCTGACACTTTTTTCGCATATTCCTCTGTACTTAGTTCTTTCAGTTGTTCTTCTTTCTTCTTTTTCTCTACGTTTAACTCATTGAGTTTCTTTGTGTGTCTGTCATATTCTAGTTTCTTTTCGTTTTCACTTATTTGCTTCTGTATGTCTATGTTTGACTTTTTGACATCTGTTATTTGATTTTTGAGTGAACTCAAATTCATTTGACTTTGAGGGTTATAGGCTGTTCCGTCTGCAGCTCCACCATAGCCTGCCATTTTCGCTAAAAGTGCCGCTCTTAAACCTCCACTCTGTGCACCAAGAACTCGGTTTAAAAGCATAGGGTTGCTTGACATTTGTTGCAACATAGTGGGGTCATTCAGCATTTGTTGTTGCAACTGTTGTTGTGGTGTTAGTCTTACTATTGGATGTTTCAATGCTCTCTTCCTCTTACGTATATTCTTACGTAGCTTACGTGGCATTTTAAGTGAAGTTAAAAAGCGGTTTTTGACAGATGTTTATATGACACTTTTTGTTCAGCACAAAAAACTACTCGGTCAAAGTGTTGACAGTTTTGTAAAATAACCGTCCTATCTCCGTGCCTATGACGAAGAAATCATGACAAATTCAAGAGGGTAGAAAAGAGGGTAGAAAAGAGGTTATATCTAACCTTCTACCCTAAATTATATTTTTGTCTGATTTTACGAAGAAGTCTTGACAAAACATTTACGAAGAAGTCTTGACAAAACATTTACGAAGAAGTCTTGACAAAACATTTTACGAAGAAGTCTTGACAAAACATTTTACGAAGAAGTCTTGACAAAACATTTACGAAGAAGTCTTGACAAAACATTTACGAAGAAGTCTTGACAAAACATTTACGATGAAATCATGACAAAACATTTTACGAAGAAGTCTTGACAAAACATTTACGAAGAAGTCTTGACAAAACATTTACGAAGAAGTCTTGACAAAACATTTACGATGAAATCATGACAAAACATGAAAACATATATAATTTGTGAAAAGCTCCTGGAAGACCTCCGAATAAAAACTTCATTTATGTGGGCTAGAAGGGGCGCAGCCCCTGGAAGACCACCCCAAGAAAAAAAAAACTTCATTATATCATTCATCCTCAGGGCTAGAAGGCACGAAGTGCCTGGAAGCCCCACTTCCTTTTTTTTTTTTTTTTTTTTTTTTTTTTTTTTAAAATGTTTAAAGTTGATGGATTCAAAATTTCAAAAATAAAAGGAGTGGTTAGTTTGAAATCTATTCCTCAATCAAGAATCACCTCATTAATGAAAATTGATGATTTAACAAAAAGAATAGAAATTATTGAAGAGCGAATAAATCAAATTATTGATTTCATAAATCATGACTCGTTGAGCCCGGGTCCTTAAAGCTCAAGGTACAAAGTGCCCAGGACTTAAAGTCCATCACTGAGTTCAAGGTTATATTCATCAAATATTTCATTATTAAATGCAACTTCTGCTAGTTTATTTATTTTTTCAATACGATCATTTGAAAGTCTATCGTTTAATTTTTTCTGAAGTTTTTCATTTTCTAGTTCTGAAACTTTATTTGGATGATATTTAAACCCGTTAAATTCTTTTTCCTCAGTTTTGATCATTAATTTACAAAGAACTTTTGTGGTTGGAATTTGTTTAAACCATTTATCATTAATATTTGTTATATATTCAATATCTGGAATTAATTCCCAAATTTTTGCATTTTCAATTAATTTATTATCAAATGCAAAAGCAATAAGTTTAATATTAAACTTACCTTTATAATATAAACTTTCTACATAATCATCGAAATAAACATCTACTTGTTTAACATTTTCAAGAATTGGTGAAAGAGCATCCATTAATTGATTGACGGTTACGAATCTTGATCCACTCATTTTCATACAAATTAAAAAATAAATTATTCAAAAATGTAAGACATGAATTTTTAAAGTTTATTTTTCATTCATGAAAATAATTATTTCTAATTTCTTTTACTCTCTCGTACATACTAGATTTAAAGAATTCAGAACTTTTACCATAATCTCCTAAATGTTTTCTTATCCCTAACGTGTGCCAGTTATTATATGAAACTGTATAAACTTTATCTTTATCTTTACACCTTTCATCACTTCCAATATATTTATATTTCAATTTTGATTTAGCATTTTCATATTCATTAACGTTTAATAATTCACAGTCTTCCTTTTTAAATAAATGTTTTATGTATTCAGGATTTAATACTCTACGTTTATACGCTCCTAACTTAGTTCTAAAGGTTTTTCTACAAAATTTAGGAATTCCATCCTCTTTAATGTCATCAATGATTTCCATTTCATTATTTTCAATTTCTTCTTCTCGTTTATGAGGTCTTTGATTATGACTCCATTGATTCCATGAAATTAAATATTCTTTATCATTATATTTATACCTCATTAGCTTATTTTGGCTTTCATATTCATTTAATAATTCACAATCTTCATTTTTAAATTGAAGTTTAACCCATTCAGGATTTAAACAATGTTTAATTAATCGTGGAATATCTGACATCATCTATATATAGCTTCTTTTATAAAAAATAAAAAAATAAATTATTTTAAAATTAATGTTAATTTTTTAAATGTGTTTATAAATTATATTTTAATGCATCGTCTATATATAGATGTAACAAAAAAAGTCACACAACCCGCACTCATATACTACTTTGAACAGGTCACTTCAAGTTGTTGGCTTCTTAGTTAATCTAACTGAAGAATCATTGATATATAAAATGATTTCAGGTCTAAATATAACTCTCTAAAGGTAGATGCTAAACTCATTTAAATGCTGTAGCAAGATACATTCGAATAGAAAGAACACGCCTGCCAGCATTAACTAAACAAGCATATACATGGAATAAAGGAGAATCAAAATTTAATTTAATGGCCAATTCATGCATTATGACCTCTCGATTTTGTAACTTATTACAAAGATTCCAAGAAACATTTTACTATTATAAAATATCTATCAATTCGAATTTATTTGAAATTCAAAATTTTACTCAAAACAACGTGAACTATTTTATCTAAAACAGGCTCAGAAAAATGTAAATTATATAAATATTGAAAATTTTAATCACACATATAAGTTTTTATTCACAAGGCACCAAAATTTCACAAGGGACAGTCATAACTTGGCCAAAAGAGTTCTTAATCTTCCAGTAGTCGCCAATTGCTTCAATAAGGAAGAATTCTTCTAATTTAGAAATTTTCATTTCTCCGTCATTGATTTCCATTGAAGATCTGACTCGTAATGTTCCTTTCTCTGGCTCTTCTTTCTCATCGTAATCCCAATCAGGTATAGGAACTTCGCATTTTAGGACAGATTCAGCTAATGGAGCTGCAAAGAAGGAATTATCAACTTCTATGACTGATTTGACAATGGATGCTGTCTTAGGAGATATTCCTGATAGGTAATTATCGATTTTTGCGAAAATTTCATCGCGTTTTTTAGAATAATCAACGAAATCACGATAAAACTGATTATAATTATTTTGTAATGCTACTGATTTTTCATTCAATACTGTGAGAGCTGCTTTCTTTGTTTCATTTGCGATTTGTTGAGTTCCTTTCGCTTGGAAGACCGTTTGCTCTAATTTTTTGTAGTGTTTATTGTAGGAACGAATGCTCTCTTTGACTACCTCTAATTGCCTATAAATATTATTCTTTAATAAATTCAAATCATTAATGAATGAAACAGTTTGATTGAACGCTCCATCTTTAAGAATAAGGACTTGACCTTGATGTATTTTCGATATCTTTTTGGCAAAATCTTCGAATCTGTCAGCTTCATTCTTTTTTCCGATCATTAAAGTTCTAAATATGTTTGATTCTGGAGGACCAACGGCAATTTGATTTGTTTTTGGCGTGGAAGAGTTAAAAATGGATGCAAATGATCTATATGCTTTTTCAATTGCGAGTAATGTTTCGTCAATTTGTTTCCAAAGCAAATGCTCGTTTTTAAGGTAGTTAGACATGAATGTTATCTCTGGAAAAACATCATCATCGAGTAAGTTAGTGGGATTTTTAACAAGTTGTTGAGATAATTTCGATGATTGATTCATTTGTCACTTTTTTCAAATTATAAAAATAGGAGAAAAAGAAAATTCAGATAATTTCATCTTGCTCTTTATGACTAAATACCACAGCTACACCACACTAGGGCAGAGTTTTTTCGAGGCCTCTTATCAAATGAGAGACTTGTAGATAGATATTCTATAAGTGATTGTATAAGTTATGATAGATTCTTGTAAGTTTGAAAGAATAATCAAAGATTTAAAAAACTAAAAACCCAGAGAAATGTATAGAATCAGTGAAGAAAATTGAATTATTTTTTATTTATAATCAAATCAATCTTCGAAAATATCAAAAAATAAAGAATATTATCTTATGTAAGAACATTATTTTTTGGCACCACGCGAAATGAGAAATTCGACTATTTCTTTCCTATTTACATATGCAGCAAGTTGAAGTGCTGTTTCTCCACTTTTATTTTTTTTCATTGATATTCACACCATGTGAAATTAGAAGTTCGGCTGTTTCTTTACTATTATTCCGTGCTGTTTTATGAAGTGCTGTTTCTCGATCTTGATCCTTTTCATTGATATTCGCACCATGTGAAATGAGAATTTCTGCAATTTCTTTATTATTATTCCGTGCTGCTTTATGAAGTGCTGTTCTTCCATCTTGATCCTTTTCATTGATATTCGCACCATGTGAAATTAGAAGTTCGGCTGTTTCTTTACTATTATTCCGTGCTGTTTTATGAAGTGCTGTTTCTCGATCTTGATCCTTTTCATTGATATTCGCACCATGTGAAATGAGAATTTCTGCAATTTCTTTATTATTATTCCGTGCTGCTTTATGAAGTGCTGTTCTTCCATCTTGATCCTTTTCATTGACATTCGCACCATGTGAAATTAGAAGTTCGGCTGTTTCTTTACTATTATTCCGTGCTGTTTTATGAAGTGCTGTTTCTCCATCTTGATCCTTTTCATTGATATTTGCGCCATGTGAAATAAGAAGTTCGGCTGTTTCTTTACTATTATTATATGCTGCATAATAAAGAGCGGTTTCTCCATTTTGATCTTTTTCATTGACATTCGCACCATGTGAAATAAGAAGTTCGGCTGTTTCTTTACTATTATTATATGCTGCATAATAAAGAGCGGTATCTCCATTTTTATCTTTTTCATTGATATTTGCACCATGTGAAATAAGAACTTCGGCTATTTCTTTACTATTATACAAAGCTGCAATATGAAGTGCTGTTTCTCCATTATTGTTTTTTTCGTTGATATTTGCACCATGTGAAATGAAGTATTCGGTAAGGGATGTAATACCAATAATAGGTGAATAAACAAAACATTTGTTTATATCATTAGTTTGATCGAAATAAACTAAAAATGATTCAAGATTATTGTAAAATCCACAAATTTCTAAATCAATATCGATATTGTATTCATTCATCAAAAATGTGACAAAATCAATGTTGTGTGAAATAATTGCATATTCCATACATTTTTCATTTGGTTTTTGATATTTGAAACATTCACTCATGATCTCTTTGTTTCCACCTAAAAATGATAATTCTAGACATCTTTGAGTGATTTCTGAGTTGAATTTCGTTCTTAAGAACTTGAAACAATCAACTGCTCCATGGTAACAACATAATTCAAGTAATGAATATCCTTCATAAGAATCTGGATATAAATCGCTTTTAAGTTTTTGATCTTTATCAAATCCATCGATTCCAGTGAATGTGATGAATTTTTCTAAGTCATTATTCATAATTGCTCTGTATATTGTATTTTCTGTGTGAATATCAAGATTTTCAAAATCATCTTTTTCGAAATCAAAAGATTTGTCTATTTTAATTCCATGTTCTTTATAAAACAGGATGTTTGAAATATCAGAGATTCCCTTGACTTCTTCAACATGATATTCATCAGAAAAGAGTTTGGCAAGAAATAAATATGACTTTGTATAGCGATTGTTATAGGGAATGATTTTTAAAATGTCTTTTATAATATCTTTGGGTGGATGTTTATTGGATTCAATCAATTCTGTTTTGATCATTTTGAAAATAGACTTTAATTCTTCTTCTTTTTCACTTTTCAACTGATACAACGAGTTGTATATATCGATATAGTATTTGTGGGTGTTTCTTAGTTCACTGTATTTGTTTGGATGAATGTCTTGGTTGGACATTAAAAATTTTTAAAAAGGACACACATTCCCGTTTTACTATATAAAATACTATTTAAATTAATTAGAAGAAAAAAAAATCTATTTTATAGATGTGGAAAACAATGACCACAAAGATTTCGGATATAAAATTAGAATTTTGATTAAATCAATAGATATAAAATGATGCAATAACAATATAAATGTCGATGGCAATAGAATTTTCATCAAGATACTTGTATTATTCAAGAGTTTTTTTTTACAAAGCTACATCCTTGTACAAATCGATGGATTTGATATATTTTGCTGATTTGAAAAATTTAATTCAAAAACATGACACAAAATTACAAAAAAAATTGACTTATTTTGTAGGGGAATAAAAAAAATATGAGTGACGAAGAAATTATTCTTGATGATGACTTTGGAGAAGCTGGTGGCGATGATGGCGATAATGGTGATCCAATAGATGACGGAGATAACGAAAATGAACATGAAAGATCTCCTGAATCTTTGTATGAAGACGCAAAAGACAACATTAGTCTATTAGATGACTCAGAAGTTATAGATATGTTCTTAAATCTATACGCTAAAATCAAAGATAACCCAGAATATACCAATATTAAGACAAAATCACTTTCACATGCTTTATTGTTACTTACACAGAACGATGATAACCAGAAAACAGCCGAAATCCTTACCGAATTCCTTGAGCTTGCTAACAATAACGAAATCTCCTCAAAAAGGTTCAATAATCGTTATCAAGCTGCTTTATCCCATAGTTTGCACAACGAGTCCACGTACAAGACTTTTTTGGAAGTCTCGACATCCAAGATGAGCAACAACCAGAACATGATTCTCTTTCTGGACATAAAATTACGACAAGTCGAATTAATGTTGTCTACAGGAAATGAGCAAGGTGCCATTTCCATTATCGAAGATGCCCAACAGTACATTCCAATTCCACCAAATTCAGAGGATAAAGATATGTGTAACGTTGCATTAAAATTATTGTCAATTCAAATGGAGATGTCTCTTGCGGAAAGTGATATACAAAAAGCTATCGGATACTACGACCTCATTTGTCAGATACCAAACGTTTCTAAGCCAACTTTACGCATATCTGGATTGAATAAACTTACAGAGGGTCTACAGTTATTCAAAAGCGGAAAATACTTATCAGCTAAGGACATACTCTTTGAGTCCTTCAAAGATTTTAACAACGTGGGCAACGACAGGCGACTTTTAGTACTTCCTTATTATACTCTTGCTCTTATGATGACTCATGAGCGTTCGATCAACACATTCAACAATCCGGAGCTCCATGTTTACAAGAACCATCCTAAAGTGGCTCCTTTGGCCCAATTATACGACGCATATCTTAATTCTAACTATTTGGAGTTCCTGAGTAAAGAAGAAAGCGGGAAATTATCATTTACTGACAGTTTCTTCATAGAGAAATTGGATGATGTTAAATTATTTGTCTTAAAATGCAACGTTTCGGTTTTGGCAAAGCCATACTCTAGGATATCTATAGAAAGCATTGCAAAGATGCTTAAAGCAGATCCAAATGAAGTCAAAAATGTCGTTTTCGAACTGATCGAAGAAAATCCAATAAAACCACCAGAAGAACAGTTCAACATGAAATACGATGATGTAGAAAACACGATTGTTAGATCAAATTCATTTGTTCCAGACAACATCACTGCTTCCACCACTCAACTGCTTTCTGTAGTTGAGAAACTTGCTGACAACTTACTCAACAGAAGTATATCAATGATTACTGATTAAATATACTGTTTATTTAAATAAGAGTACTCTTTCTTACCGTCGATAAAAAATTCCAAGAAATTATTTTTTTGTCTATGGAATGCTATCAAAACATGATCGGCACCATTCAAATTGCTGGCAAAAATGTCAAAAAATAAGCGCAATAGGGTATCATTTTTATTTAATTAATAAATAAATACTTAATAACTAACTGTTTATGATTTTATCTATTTCAAGTATCTACAATAATCCAAAGTAGTAAAAAATTCATATTATATATATATATATTTTATGTATTTTATAAATTTCATCGCAAAAGAATCAGTTGAAAAATTGAGAACCTCAGTGTATACTTTTTGACATTGCCAAAAAATTTTTTGTATACTTTCTGACGAACAGACTCTCAGAAAGTGCTCAAACTGCGGTTTTTAATTACCGCACTTTTTTTGGCGATACTTATATAAATATCCTAGAGTTTTTTATATAAGTATTCGTTTCCTGAAAATTGAGCCTGCTGCTTTGTGAAGTGCTATTTCTCCATCTTTATCTTTTTTTATTGGCATTTGCATCATGTGAAATGAGAACTTCTGAAGTTTCTCTACTATTTCCAAATGCTGTATTATGAAATGCGGTTTTTCCATATTAATTTTTTTCATCGACATTCCCACAATGTGAAATAAGAAGTTCGGCTGTTTCTTAACTATTTCCAGAGAAATGTATAGAATCAGTGAAGAAAATTGAATTATTTTTTATTTATAATCAAATCAATCTTCGAAAATATCAAAAAATAAAGAATATTATCTTATGTAAGAACATTATTTTTGGCACCACGCAAAATAAGAAATTTCGACTATTTCTTTGTTATTTATACGTGCTGCAATTTGAAGTGCTGTTTCTCCACTTTTATTTTTTTCATTGATATTCACACCATGTGAAATAAGAAATTCGGCTGTTTCTTTACTATTATACAAAGCTGCTTTATAAAGTGCTGTTTCTCCATTTTGATCCTTTTCATTGATATTCGCACCATGTGAAATAAGAAGTTCGGCTGTTTCTTTACTATTATACAAAGCTGCTTTATAAAGTGCTGTTTCTCCATTTTGATCCTTTTCATTGATATTCGCACCATGTGAAATAAGAAATTCGGCTATTTCTTTACTATTATACAAAGCTGCAATATGAAGTGCTGTTTCTCCACGTTTATCTTTTTCGTTGATATTTGCACCATGTGAAAGGAAGTATTCGGTAAGGGATGGAATATTAAAAATAGGTGAATAAACAAAACATTTGTTTATATCATTAGTTTGATCGAAATAAACTAAAAAGGATTCAAGATTTTTGTGATCTCCACAAATTTCTAAATTGATCTCTAAATTGTATTCATTCATCAAGAATGTAACAAAATCAATGTTGTGTGAAATAATTGCATATTTCATGCAAACTTCGTCTGGTTTTTGATATTTCAAACATTCACTCATGATCTCTGAATTTCCGCTTAAAAATGATAATTCTAGACATTTTTGAGTGATTTCTGAGTTGAATTTAGTTCTTAAGAACTTGAAACAATCAACTGCTCCATGGTAGCAACATAATTCAAGTAATGAATATTGAGCGAAAGGATATGGATATAATTCGCTTTTAAGTTTTTGATCTTTATCAAATCCATCGATTCCAGTGAATGTGATGAATCTTTCTAAGTCATTATTCATAATTGCTCTGTATATTGTATTTTCTGTGTGAATATCAAGATTTTCAAAATCATCTTTTCCGAAATCATCAGATTTGTTTAATTTAAACCCATATTCTTTATAAAACAGGATGTTTGAAATATCAGAGATTCCCTTGACTTCTTCAACATGATATTCATCATAAAAGAGTTTGGCAAGAAATAAATATGACTTTGTATAGCGATTGTTATAGGGAATGATTTTTAAAATGTCTTTTATAATATTTTTGGGTAGATGTTTATTGGATTCAATCAATTCTGTTTTGATCATTTTGAAAATCAAATTTAATTCTTCTTCTTTTTCACTTTTCAACTGATACAACGAGTTGTATATATCGATATAGTATTTGTGGGTGTTTCTTAGTTCACTGTATTTGTTTGGATGAATGTCTTGGTTGGACATTAATAATTTTTAAAAAGGACACACATTCCCGTTTTACTATATAAAATACTATTTAAATTAATTAGAAGAAAAAAATCTATTTTATAGATGTGGAAAACAATGACCACAAAGATTTCGGATATAAAATTAGAATTTTGATTAAATCAATAGATATAAAATGATGCAATAACAATATAAATGTCGATGGCAATAGAATTTTCATATATAATGCATTAGCAACATATTGAATTTTAATATTTTGAGTCTTCTCAGACCATTCATCTAAGTAAGAGCTTAGATATAGAAATTTAACTAAATTATTTGCCTGATGAAAATATAATAAAAAAAATGGAAAATGAATCTCTTTTTAATTTTGAGCCAAAACCAAATTATTTGTGTTATCGACAAGACTGTGTGTAGTGTTGTAAGAGAAATATTTCGAAATTTCTGTAATATCTAAGGATTTATTATCATATAAGAAAGAAACTTGAATAAGTTATCATTTATTGGCCAATGCCACCGATGATAACGTTGTTGATAGGGTAAGCGATAACTTTGAAGATGAAGCCAACAGATCCGAGAATAAGAAAGCCAACAGCTGAAGCTGAAGCAGAATCCTTAAGGACCTTTGTAGATGGAAGTGTGCAGCGCTTGAGAACCTTAACGCAGGACTTAACGAAATTAGTGGCTGGGGCGGCAACAATATCGAGAGCTTCCATTCACTTTTTTTAGTTTTTGTATAAAATGAATGGGGTCATAATTCATCTAATAACTCGATGAGTAAAAAATAAATCCAGGTTTTCTTGATATCATTATATTAAGTGAAACATATGTGGCTGATAATACTATTAGAGTACATGAAAGGCTATAGTTTTTGATCAGATAAATTTGATAAATTCCAAAACTTTTATATTTCAAAATTAAAAAGCTCACATGCATTTAAATGGAAACGAAAAGAGATTGTTGTTATTAGAACTAAGTTTTAACATCCATTATTTTTTTTTGTTATATCGAGAGTACTTTCAAAAGAAAATATTGATTTTTGATTTAGTAAATATGAAATGTTATGATGCATATTATAGATTTGTTGTGTAAAGGAGATGAAATGAATAAAAAATTGAAATTGTGATAGCGAAATAACGAGCAAAAAAATGGCGGAAGCGAATGCGGAACAGCCACCGGCTGAGGGAGAGCCACAGGAGACTCAGTCGGCGAAGCCAGAAAAGAAGCCAATTCAAACTAGAAAAGAATCTGAGCTCGAAAAACAGAAGAAATTAGAAGAAGAAAAAAAGCAAAGACTTGCTCAACTCAAAAAACAAAAAATCGAGGAGGATAGGAAAATGGCAAAGATGAGAAACGAAATCAGACAAAAACAAATCGAAAAAGCGAAGAAAGAATTTGCAAATAATCCTTTGGCCGAAGATCAAGTCGCCATTTACGATCGAGCGATCAAGCGTGTCGAAAAACGTAATATGAGGCGTGAATCACCTAAGAAGACAGCTAAAAGTGCTCACCATACACAGTCAAAACCTGTTGAAGAAAAACCAGAGCAGCAAGAAGAGAACAAGGAGCAAGAACAGCAGGAGCAACCTAACGAACAACCACCGGAGCAGCCAAAGGAGCAACCCAAAGAGCAGCAACCTCAACAACAGCCAAATAAGACTACTGCTTAAATTTAAATTTTTTGTTGGCATTATAATGGTACTAAACTATGTAAAATCATTTATCTTTTGAAATACTGTATTTTCTTTGATTATATTTCAAAATCATTAAAAATAAAAAAAATTAATAGATGCAAGAAAATATTGGACTAACTAATGAACTTATGATTACATATATGCGTGATGCGTATAATTTGTTTTGAAATCCAAAAATAAGAATCAAATTTTCTTATCTCGTCAAAACAAATGGATCAAAGGGTGATAAAATGCTACAATTGTGCAATTTGCCAGTTTCAAATTGAAATTAATATATTATCTTTCTAATGAAAATTATTTAAAAACTGCATATAGATCGTTAAATATTACTGCATACTTTTTTATATAACCAATAGTAATAGATCACATTTGAATAATCATGATTTACTTTTATATTCCCTGAATTTTTTTGACGACCGGATAATCAATATTCTTCAATGTTAACTCTCAAATAGAATTACTTACTTGCGTACAAAATGAATGTTATTGTTTTTATTCTACGAAAAATCTGAGTTCAAAATATTTTCGTCATATGTTAAACTTTTTTAAATAATAAATGAATATTATAATCTAAATATTTATTCTTCTGTTGCATGCTAAGAACAGTCATAATGTAAACCTCTCAATTTTATTGTCGTGGGAAGTATCTCAATTCCTTCAAAAAAATTGAAAAACTATTTAATTTTAAAAATATAATACTTTTAATTAGTTAATTAATTGGAGATATTTTTTAAAAAATCACTTTTGATAATACTCTTGAGAACTTTAATTAAAAAAATATATTCAAAAATATCCAGGATATCAAGAGGGAATTGTTCCTTATGAGGTATATAGTTATGATGTATACCTCATAAGGAACAATTCCCTCCTTAAAATGAGAAAACTTGTTCGAAATTGTTTATCATTTCGAACAAGTTTTCTCGTTTTTAATAGGAAACTAAAGGCTATGAGGCACTGATTATATATTAGTGCCTCATAGCCTTTAGTTCCTAATAGATAGCTGGGGAACTTTCTCCAAATGATAAGTTATTCAGAGAAAGTTTCCCAGCTATCAAGAGGGAATTGTTCCTTATGAGGTATATATTTATGATGTATACCTCATAAGGAACAATTCCTCTAAAATCGTAGACATTTTTATACTTATTAATCAACCATTCAAAATCATATTCCTCTGAAAAGTTATTTTATTAAAAATTTAGAATTTTAATAAATATAGAGTTTGAATTTCATACAATACCTATATATTTTCAATAATGGAATTTGAAAACCATTCTCAAAAGTTCTCAGAAAACTTTTTTTCATTAATTTTAAGAAATCTGAGTATTAAATTAAGTGATAAATTCGTTTGACACTACTTTAATTTTTAAATTCAAAAAATTATATGTGCTTCTTAAAATGACTCAAAAAAATTTTATTATAAAATAATATATAATATTAAAAATCCCACAACATTTTTTTACTTTACATAATCGTACTTCCTCGACGATTAATTTCCACTCAATTTCTATTGTTGACCGAACTTAGCATGCAACACTTCAAACATTTAAAATGTGAATAGTTCTGTTCCATCATTCCATAAAGGATTTTCAAACTGATCTGCAAGTGAATCAAGGCCAATCTGATTCAGTATGCGATCAAGTACTTCATCGGTATTAATTTCATCATTCAATTTATAAACACTATCATTTGGTTTAATTGTTTCAAGTGTTTCAATATGTGTACTGCTATTTGAGTTTAACAACTGTTGTAATCTACACTTGACTGAGTATTCATTCCTATATGCAAGGAATCTGGCAATTTGAGCATAGTTTTTACCAAATTCTTTCCATTTTTGTAAGATTATTGAATCCTCATCTGATGTCCAAGCACGGCGAGAATTCTTTGGGGAGTTATTCCTTTTCCATCTATCAATGCATTGTCTGACATTCCTGCCTGGCATCATTGATGCAATCTGTACCCAATTGTGTGTTCCATACTTCTCTATGATCTGTCTCAGTCTCTCATCTTCCTCTGGTTTGAACTTCGTTGGGCGCTTAAGCATGCGATCTTTGAGACGTAGCATAATACTGAAAATGAACTGTAAAACAGTTTCTTTGATTTATTTTCAACAGAAATCAACATTTAAAAAAATCATCAGTATTTTAAATTGTTCATGTTATCCACTTTTCATGATCATTCAATAAATTGAATTTTAAAATTAACTAGCTAAAAATCTATTTTCCCCCACGTTTAATAATTTTTTTGATGCAAGATTAATTGTCTGACCAATTATATTTTAAGGAGTATCATTCAAAATTAAATGAATATCAAATAAAATAAAAAAATATAAAACTCTAATATTAGTTGAGACTAGCGCTTTCTAGTATTTTTATTTTAATGGAGTAATTGTAAAATATTCATGTTAATTGAAAATAACCAATTAAATGAAAAGTCATATTGAAACAAAAATTTCCCTTTATATTAATGAAGAATTATTCTTTTGCGTTTTTAAATATAATTACAAATTGGCTTCAAATTGAGATGTTTTCAATTTTTCATGATTTTAACGATGAGAAAAATCTCGTTGTTTAACAGTTTTAACTTGTTTTTCCTATTGTATGTATACTAAGATATATGATGTTAATGTTTTTAATAATATCTATATTACAGATATTTTCTTTTGTTTTCAATTTTGATAAAATTTACGATATATCAGGTATTGAGGAATGAATTTTGACCGCTTCCTTATGATGAAGATAAATGTTACAATAATGCTCCGTGACTCTGAAAATTCAATCGTATCCAAATTTTATGTCATAAGTAATCGTTGGTGACCCATTTATCTCATGTTTTCTTTTAAAAAACTGCATTAGTTCATTGATCGGTCTTGTTTCTCCATGAGAGATGTCAGGTTATCTTATCTATCGTTGAACAACAAAAAGTTTTTTCTTTTCTCCTTGATTTCTTCATTCGTATTTGTATTTATGTATTGCTCTTCTAGGAAATATATTATAACAAGTATGACTATGTGCTAATTATTCTTGAGACAATGTTCAATTTGGGGTATTATTATTGTCGTATGCATACTATATACATAGATGGAATTGATGTTCTTCCTTTATTTAGGTACCAAAACATGCTTGAAAAATCTGTTTTTTAGACGACAATGATAATTTTGTCACTTTTTCCAGACGACAATAAAACATCCTCGTTCAAATTAATGGGAGATATGAAAACTGCTAAATAATGCTTATTTAACAATTAGAAACTATTTAAAATAGGATGAAAATTTAGAAGAGCTAATATTTATTTGAAACCATTATCATCAAAAAAAAATTGAGATTTCAAATCAAGGTGAGGTTTTTTGTGATATGGAAAAATGTTCGTTGCTCAATTATCTCACTATTGGATGGACTTTTATCGAGCGAAATTTTGGCTGTAAAGACAATTCTGATATTGGTAACATGGTGATAAGAACAAATAGTCAGTTTGCATGGTTTATGATGAGATAATTTCGATTTAAAAAAAACATAAAAATTGATTTTAATGAGCAATTCACTGGTTAAATCATGAATTGATCATGAATAATTTTTTTTCGAAATAACAATTATAATTTCATATTCATTATAAGTTGAAAATATATCATAAAGACTTTATGAATGATAAATTCCTAAAAAACAAGTTAGTTTGTTTCTGAAAATAATAATAATAAAAACCAATTTAGACCCAAAAATTTTTGGCGGGATAATTGAGATGTTTAACAAAAACTGAAAGGTGTCATTATTATCTATGACCAAAAAGCAACTGACCTAGTCTGGATTACAATATTCGGTTCATCAAACCGCCAATTTGATGAATCAAGCCAAATTGTAACTGACCTAGTCTGGATTACAATATTCGGTTCATCAAACCGCCAATTTGATGAATCAAGCCAAATTGTAACAAACCAGTTGTTGATTGCATGGTATCATTCATCGAACTGCCAATTTGATGAATTACATTTCTTAGTCATCAAAATAGTGGTCATGTTACTATTCGTTAGGTTAAATTACTTTAATGCCCATTCAAGGAAGTACATGTCAGTTACAGGGTTTATAGTTTTACTCAAATTGAGTAAACCTCTTGGAAGCAATTACCACAAGAGCCAAGACTTCTCGTTTACAGACTTTGAAAGCCAGGAAGGAGCCAGGTAACAATAATGGGCTCTCTTATGATATTTTGGGATATTTATCAACAATTTGAGTTTCTACCTATTGTCTTCAATGAGGATTTTTTAGGCCAGAAGTACAATACCTGTACAGTCTAACTACTAGGGCAATGTAGTCAAACTGTGCACGTATTGAACTTCTAAGGCTATTATTTATCTGCTATTGACATCATTCTTTTACATTACCGTCCTCTGGTCCTTAGAGGACCATAGATTCTGAAATTACTTGTGCAGAGCAAAGTTCTTCCGAGATCTCTCTATCCTTCGTAGATCTCGGAAAAACTTTGCCTTAAACTACCGCATTAATGTTTCCTAGTATTCAAAGAGCTATGAATTCTATAGTTGATCTTATAAGGTAGAGTTTTTCCTAACTTTCTCATTCGTTGAAAGGTTTTCAACAAAGCTATACCTTAAAAATCTGTGCTTGTTATATCTGATCATTTGTGTGTTAGGTAAATTTATTCCACTAGAGCAAATTTTTTCCGAAGTTTCTCATTCGATGAGAAACCTCGGAACAACTCTTCAATAGTGTAATGAATTTGTGGTATTTGTCCTGCAAACAGCGAGAGAACTTGTCTGTAATTCGTTTATGATGAAGTTATCTGGATGTCTCTCAGATGAGGAAGGAAGTCCAGAAAACTTCACCATAAGTTAATATATACTTGTGTATTTCTATGACTCTCTTCACGTCAGAGAATGTAAATTTACTCGAATAGGGCAAAGTTCTGCTCAAGTTTCTCATTTGATGAGAAACCTCGGAAGAACTTTGCCCTAAGGTAATGTATATGTGATTGTTGGCCCGCAGAGAAACAAGGAATCTGTTTGTATTTCGTTTATGGTGAAGTTCTCGGATGTTCTCTCAATTCCCGAACCTGTTTTCGCAGAAGTAAAGAATATATTAGTGTATTTGGAGCCGAGTCGGTTTCCAAGTTCTTCTGGAGCTTCGAAAAGTGAGTTGGCCATATCAGTTTTGTTAATTACGACGACAATCTCGGGTTTTTCATTGTTTTTCTTTAAGACTTCTATCCAATCGTCTATTTTTTCAATTGACTGATAGTCAGTGTAAGATGCCACAATTACTGCAACATCTGTATCGCAAACAAATAAAGGTAAAAGCTGAGCATACTTTTCCTGTCCAGCAGTATCCCAAAGGCATAACTCCGCCTTGGTTCCTTCAGTTAGTATACATATCATGGGTACGGCGGCACTGCGCGCCTCCTTACCCATTATATGTGAATTTGACACTTTACGAAACCGTTAACGTATATTTTACAACACAAACGACAACACTAACTTAACCTTAAATATTTACAAAGCCACCAACCACTTCACCTCACTAATGTTTTCACAAACGACTTCACTACTGTAAAAATAAACGTTCTCACTTACAAAAGTATTGCAACTCCTCCCATTGCTGTGCTTCATATAACAGCTCATAATCTTCTAACTCACTTTCTTCTTCATATAGGTCAAAATCACTGTCATAGTTTATACCTGTAAGTTTTGACAAAGCTAATGAAACACGCTTACCGTTTGTATCATATGCTTGTATAAACTTTCCATTATGCTTGTAGTCATAAACGCTCAAACTAACTTTACCCTTTCTCCCTCGTATCTGATAGAATGTATTTTCACGAGGAACGAAGAACAAATTCTTGAACTCATGACCGTTGTAGTTTGTTATCTCAATAGTTTTCGTCATTTATATAAAAATAAAATAAAAAATAAACTTAAAAATTAATGATATCACCACCCTCACACGTATGAAAACATAGCACAAAAATAAATTTAGGTGAAGTGGTGAAATCTCACCTCTTTTTTCACCCGGTTTTTCACCCTGTTGAATTCATTGCTTTATAACTCTCTTCCTTGGTTTCTTTTTAGTTGCTTTCTTCACGTCTGTCTCCAACTTGACTGTCTTTCTTCTTCGGCCGTAATGATACCAGTTACTTCCACCAGTCAATGGGTCAAATGGTCTTTCGTAAGGGTTTCCATACATTCCATAGGGACCATACGGAAGAACTACTGGTGGAGAAGAAACATTTTCTTTAGTTCCATCGACTCTATTTAAATGCATTGTTTCACCTTTCATCTGGTCATTAAAGTCTTTTGCGTGTTTTGCAAACTCATCGTCCTTTCCTAAAGCATTTTCTGACTCAGTCGCAACCAAATTGGATGCTTTATTTATGAGCCCCATTTTATTTAATCTTAACTTCTTTGCAACCCAGCCTCCAATCTTTCCTTTTTTGCATCTAATGTCTTTGAAACCCTTCCTCCACTCATTTTATTTACTGCGTCATAAGCTCCAAGTGCTTTTGCTCCAAATGCTAATGCTTTTGTTCCCATTGCGCCTAAAGCTGCCCAAGCTACCATTTACCCCATATTAAAATCATCTCTCTTCAATATTATCTCATAAAAGTTCTCGTTACTGGAGAAAGTCAATGAAACATAAGCGTTCTCACAGGCTTCGCCCTCACCGCTTTGCGGTCTATCTAACTTATTTCTTATATCATCTATACGCTTCAAAATGTCTGAACAATTGCTAACATCTTCTACAACAGTTATTTCATCATGAATGACCTTCAAGAACAAACTCATTTAATATGCTATTAAAATCATCTCAATAATGAGTCCATCCTTTCCATCTTTAGGTAGCACAACATCTTTCATTGAAGAAGGTTCAACAAGTCTTATGTTAAACTTACTGACAAAGTTTGTTATACTATAATGCTTTGGCGGCGAATACATATAGTTTGAAAGACATAATATAGATTCTTCAGCAAATTCACTTATACTGGATTTTATAACAATGTTCTCACGAGACCAAATGCCACCAATTGACAATCTTGTAAGCAATCCTGCTGAACCTTCTACTGTAAACGTCGATGGTAACATTCCACGAAGGTCATCTATTGACATCTTTGAGTCACTGAATTTAAAGATTTTCTTAAAGCAATCGTCATTATCTAACCATGCAATAGCTTTGAAGTTTTCATTCGAATATACATCTGCTTCATTAAATGTAAATCCTGACTTCTTTGCAGAGATGACTTTAAAATCTATTGAGTTTGTTTCAAAATTATATGCTATGGTAACTTCTGAAGGTAATGGATGCCCTTCCGCAGTCAGTTGTTCTCTCACTACCGTTTGAAGCTTTGTGTTAAAAACTTTCATGTCATCTCCTGTGTCTAGGTTCACATACACAGCAACAGGGAAACTATCTTGCTTCTTTGTTTCATCATTATATCTCAAAACATTAAAGTTCTTCAAATAATATTGTTCTTCCTGCTGGAATACTTCGAACCTGTCTGATTTCAATAGCTTTCTCACCTCCTACATACTCTACCCAGTGTCTTGGATATTCATAAGTATACTGACTTTCTTGAATTTTGGTTGGTTTTCATAAAATAGTATATCTTTATACTCTTGTCAGTTAGACTCGGTGCTATGTTCTGAATATTTAATTTTAATGGAGATAAAATGAAGCATTTAATACATGATGTCGATGAAGACATGAATGAAACTACAGACAAACTTAACTCTTCTCTTATTCTTCCTTTCAGCAAAGATTATGAATTCTGTTCAATGGTGTTTATTTCTATTGTGGAAAGATGGGCTCAGGTAAGACATTTAACCTCATTCGTCATATACTATAACAGAGTTTAGGAAACGACTCTTACTATGAACCAAATCATTATATCAGCAACTTCAGACTCTATGGACTCAACAGCGAAAACATTTATGTCAAAAGTTCAAGCCTCTATCGTTAAAGTTCCAGACAGTGAACTCATTGAATTTCTTCACAATTCGACGTAAGAGAAATATTATGCCATCGTAGAGTTCATACAGTCAGGAATGCAAAAGACTTCTGAGGAGATGGAAAAAATTATTGACAAACACCACGTCAATACTCAGGAGTTTACGATATGAAACGACTTACAAACTACATTCTGTCAAACTTTCAAAATAACCCCCTTCAAAAAGTATCCTTCAAACACTCTGCTCGACGACTTCGCCGGAAAAGGTTTAGTGTCAAACAGACTCAACTCTTAGCTAACATCATAACTAAAGTCAGACATTACCACTTAACTGTAGCAATACTTATGCAAACATGGCGTTTTCTTGCTTTAAACATAAAACGTCTCATAACCGACTTCGTTATCTTTCAGGTTTTCTCACGTTATGATATTGAACTCATTTGGAAACAGTCAGGTATAACATTATTTTGAAGAATTTGGAAAGCATATAAGTCTCTCATCTCTCCGTTCATACCTTGAGATTCATATCATGACTAATACCATTAAAGTCAAAATATTCCATGGGAACGAACCAACATTGTTTAAAGTTTAACCTTCATTGACTGATGGTAAACAATTCCATGCATCTCTGTCGCCATTTCTGTTAATATTTTTGCTGTCATTCATATATCCACTTCCCATCCGTTAGCTTTTGAGGATATGCGTTAGAATAGCTGTCTTAAATGAGGCTTTTCACCTTTGAGAGCATAAACTTTATAACTTTCTGCATACTTTATGTTTGAACCTCCTGAGCCATCATTGACATAAATTTTTATAGGCTTCCACCTTTGTTCATATTCCTGCTTCTTCCCTTTGCTCTTTTGTTCAGTAGTTCTACATCTTTATACACAGCTCTGTCTCAGTGAATTCAACAATATTTTCATTCGTTAGCTTTACATTCAAACCCTTGTCGAGTATATTGTTCATTTCATACATATAAAAGGTTTTTATTCTATATGAAATGAGAGCAAATCCATCTTAGCTGGTGCCGTTAATGTTCCAATTGAACCAACATCAAATGTTGACTCACGAACGACAAACAATATTGTCATAAAGAACTATAGTTCGGAGTGTTTGAAGAAAAAGAACCAGATCTTAAGTCGGTGAATTTAAACACAGCTTCAAACGCTAATGCTACATCAGATGTTAAGTTAGAGTATCCACCACTGGACCAAGTTCTTTCAAGAGAAGCCAACGACAACCTTACACAAATGTTCAAACAAATCCTTCAGATAACGTAGACCATTACTTCTTCAGTTATACAACAATTTTACTCAAAGACGATAAGAAGCTTTTGACAAATCTTATAAGTAAGAACCAATAATTCTAACAAAGGAGGACCTTGAAAATGTTATCTCACGAATAACAGGGAAAAATGTGTCATTGACTATCTCGACCCTGAAATCGAATGCTGTGGTCAAACGCCAATATTCATGAAAATAGGTAACATCCGCATCAATTGAAAACCAGGAACTAAGGAAGTTGAGTTTAAAGTATAAATATTCGAACGAGTATACAAAACTATCTACTGACTATAAGCTTTGTTTGAAATATGTTTTAGTAAATTAAAGCAGTCAGGAGGGCTCTTGAGCCATCTTGGCGCTTTGCGCGTCAGTCAAAAAATTTCAAGTTAGCAATTTGTAATATCTATCCAAAACTTCTTCAACAGTATCGAACTCATCTTCATAATGCAAACCTAATCTTATTGACTTGGTGCAGTTTTCACTAACACAATATTTTTCTGTTCTCTTGACTGACATAACTAACTCATTTGTTTCATCAAACAGCAACAACCAAAGTTCATGACCTAATACATAACATTCATACTTTATATTTTTAGCTCTGAGTTCTCTTGTAAGCTGTTGCATTTAATATTTTCTAAAAAGTCAACTTCAACAGTCATTCGCACTGGTGCCTTCAGTTCTACAGGCTCTCCTTGAAAGTCAACAAGTCTGAATTGCATGTCTTTCAAATTATGAGGACTAATGCGAACCCATTTACCTAAATGAGTTGCTATGACAGGAACGTTTGGAATGAACATTGAATTGACTGCATAACAGAAAGACTTATATTCTACTGAACCTTTACTATTAACTCCTGAAATACCTGTGACATTAGCTATTTTTGACTCAATGTACAAACAATTACCATAACATACGTATGGAACAGATTTCATCTCAATCGTTTTGTCAACACTTTTCAAAGGAAATGTCATATGGTATGCACCAAAAGAAGTTGTACTCTATGACTCATTCTTGGTATCTTAAACTCTTTCTCGCTGCTGAACTTCAATGTTCCCTCAGAAGAGAGTTCGACATCTATGTTGTCAATAGTTTCTTTATTTATGAGAGTATCTATGACTCCAGCAATTTTATCTATTCTATACCCAGCTCTGTTAGGAAATGTTATAACACTTCTTTTGTCATCTATTTCAATCTCTATGAAATCTGTTTCATCTGTTATGAAAAAAGTTGCGATAGTATTGAAGTCAACAACTCTGAAAGCAAGCGCTTCATTCTGAAGACCTAAGTTTGTTTGTAGCTTTACTGTCCCGTATTCTTTTGGGCCTGTACTTTGCAAATAGAACAATATTTTATTCTCATTAAAATATGACTATTGCTGCATATGCGTATGAAACAAATGAAGCAAGAAGAGCACATGAACTAGTAAACGAAAACTCAACTTTAACCATTGAAGGCAATGATTTAGTCATTGACGATGGAAAAACTAAAAAAGTCATTGATTTCGATACTTTTAACACTTATGACCCATTCATTACAACAAGCAAGGTTCCCATCATAAATGATGGAACGGTGCAATATATAAATTCTACAGTAGATGCCTCATTAGTGAAAGTATTAAATGTTCTCATTGAATTGTTAAAGAGCTTTCGATTTGACGACAACATTAAATGCCTAAAGAATTTAGTCATGAATGAGAAACAAATTCTCGGCGTTGCTGGTAGCAGTAATGATGTACACCTTATGACATTAGAATATTATAACGAACATAAAGATGAACTGAAAGGAGAGAAGGGTGACACCGGACCTCAAGGACCACAAGGAATACTGTTATATACGAAAACGATAAAAACCGTTTGACAGAAAAGTGACAACTTTACGTGTCAAAAATATAAAAAGTGATATTTTATTCATCATTATCTTCTTCATAATTTATTTCATATTCTTCGTCTTACCAACAAAAGATGGGAATGTGAACAATTGCGGGCAATTTTTAGCCATTTTGGCTTGGAACTAGAGCCTGCGAGGTACATGGATAGTATCAGTACCTCACAGGCTCTAGTTCTCTATATGGCGCCGAGAAATTTTGGTGAAATGGGGTCGCATTTCACCAAATTTTTTCGGCGCCATAGGATGAATTGGAGGGTGAGAGATATTATTTCATACAATACTACTCTCAGCCTCCAATTCCCAGCCAAAATGGCTAAAAATTGCCCGCAATGTGAACAATTGCGGGCAATTTTTAGCCATTTTGGCTTGGAACTAGAGCCTGCGAGGTACATGGATAGTATCAGTACTCACAGGCTCTAGTTTCTATATGGCGCCGAGAAATTTTGGTGAAATGTGTCGCATTTCACCAAAATTTTTTCGGCGCCATAGGATGAATTGGAGGGTGAGAGATATTATTTCATACAATACTACTCTCACCCTCAATTCCCAGCCAAAATGGCTAAAAATTGCCGCAATGTGAACAATTGCGGGCAATTTTTAGCCATTTTGGCTTGGAACTAGAGCCTGCGAGGTACATGGATAGTATCAGTACCTCACAGGCTCTAGTTCTCTATATGGCGCCGAGAAATTTTGGTGAAATGTGGTCGCATTTCACCAAAATTTTTTCGGCGCCATAGGATGAATTGGAGGGTGAGAGATATTATTTCATACAATACTACTCTCACCCTCCAATTCCCAGCCAAAATGGCTAAAAATTGCCCGCAATGTGAACAATTGCGGGCAATTTTTAGCCATTTTGGCTTGGAACTAGAGCCTGCGAGGTACATGGATAGTATCAGTACCTCACAGGCTCTAGTTCTCTATATGGCGCCGAGAAATTTTGGTGAAATGTGGTCGCATTTCACCAAAATTTTTTCGGCGCCATAGGATGAATTGGAGGGTGAGAGATATTATTTCATACAATACTACTCTCACCCTCAATTTTAATTACTTAAACTCATTCTATTTTTTTGACATGTAAATGTCACTTTTACTGAGATCTGACACAATGTCAGATCTCTTTTTTTCGTATATAAGAATACAAGGAATACAAGGACCTCAAGGCGAAAACGGTTTGAATGGTGAAGATGGAAAGGATGGAAAAACTGCTAAATCATGGATATGGAACCTTATAAATACTGGTTTAACAGCTGCTTCATATGGAGTTCTTCAATACCAAATCGGAAAGATATGGGCAGTACTTGGTGAAGAAGTTTTAGATGACGTTAAAAATGCTTTGAACTTCATTTCAAATGGTTCTGATACTATTAAAACTTTATCTGGTTGGATGCAAGAAACAAGGAGTCAAATAGATACTGTAAGACGTATAGCAAACAATGCACGTACGGGATTGGATACTTTACGAGAAGCACAAAATACACTAAAGGAAGCAAATGATATTCTTGGCTCAGTATCAGACATGCATGAAGATTGGCTTAAAGGTATTGACAAATCTTTAAAAAATCACAGTCAGTCTATTGCTGACTACAAGAAAAGTATAGATTTTTTACATAGTGCTATGGACGTACATGATGGAAGCATAAGGAACTTACTTAATGCTAACAATAATTACCAGGAACTATTAAAGCATTTATAAAGTCCTTTGTAAAACCTGGTGCTCTAACAATTAGGTCTTTGAGAGCAAGAGCATTGAAGTCAAGAGATGCAGAAACTCCAACAGAACCTACAGAAGGAACTGAAACAACAGAAACTCCAGAAGAACCACCAAAAACCAACAGCTAATGAAATATTGTTCGAATATTTTCCAAGGTACTCTGTTCTCATTGCATACATTCAAGAAATACTTAAGAAAGCAGACTTGACTTTAGGAGATGATGAAAGTTCTGTATATCTTTCGTTCCAGTTTCAAATAGCAGAACTTTTGAGACAGATATGCTTAATGTATGACAACATCTCTGATTTCACAAGATATGATGACGACCATGACCCCGAACACGGTGAAGAAGAAGTTTTACAAACATCCATTAAGACAGGAAAGGTTTTAACACAAAGTCTCATTATTGACACCAAAGATGGCGAAGTGGACGTTCTTCAAGCTGAAGAAAAATACTTCTTCGGGAGGTGGTGGTAGGCATGAACTTGAAATAAATGAGATAGAGAGAAATTAGCCGAAAAAGCAGATAAAAACCATGTTCATTATATAAGTTCAGACGAACAGATTATAACGGACTACCATGGATATTTAACACAGGATGAACAAATAAGCACTGAAGATGTTAATGAAAGAAGATATAAATTCATTTGTGCTAAAGGTTATGATATACGCTGTACTGTACAGTATGACACAGGTAAAGCACCAGAAGCATTTGGTTATAACGATGAAATTTATGCCTCTACTTTCTTGTTAACGGTGTATTAGTTGAACCAAGATTTACATTGAGAGTTAAGACAAAAATAACCGTTGAAGATGCTATTAAAAGTAAAGCTGACAAAGATGAACTTGACGCAACGAACAAAGTTTTGAAATCTCATAAACACAATATCTCCGATATAAATGAACTTCAAGCTACATTAAATAGTAAAGCTGACAAGAACCATACACATGAATCCTTCACTACTGTTAGAGCAGACGACATAATATTGAACTATACCCCTGGTTCAAGTGCACCTTTAGAGAATCCAAGTACAAGCGTAAAAGATACACTAAACTCCTTAAATAACAAATGTATGAACATTGAAGGTCATGTCAGAAACTTTGAACACATGAACTACCAGCAATGTTAGATAAGAAAGCAGACAAAAATCATACACATAACTCCTTCTCAACTGTTGCTATAGAAAGTATTGAAGGAACGGTTGGCGGAACTGGTGGGGAGGGCGGAGTCACGTCGCATGCGGCTGCATTATATTATAAACCTCCTAACTTTCCACAAGGTTTAACATCGAATGAAAACATAACAACGAAGAAAGAAATTAGCTGTAAAAATGTTTATGTCATGGACGATGAAAATAATGTTAAATTCACTGCTCAAGATTTATATGATAATAAAGCTGACAAGAACCATACACATAAATCCTTCACTACTGTTAGAGCAGACGACATAATATTGAACTATACCCCTGGTTCAAGTGCACCTTTAGAGAATCCAAGTACAAGCGTAAAAGATACACTAAACTCCTTAAATAACAAATGTATGAACATTGAAGGTCATGTCAGAAACTTTGAAGCATATGAACTACCAACAATGTTAGATAAGAAAGCAGACAAAACAGAGCTTCAAACATTAAAGACTGAAATACTTCAAACATTATATCCTATAGGCTCTATTTATACGTCAATGAACTCAACAAATCCAGAAACAGTTCTGGTTTTGGTACGTGGAAGCAGATTGTAGATAAATTCTTATACTGTGCTAGATATTCAAAGCAAACAGGAGGTTCGAAGAAAATTGGAAGCAAACCTTCCACCGCACACTCATACAGGAACTACAAACACAACAGGTAATCATTCACATTCAATAACAAAAAGAGGTTATACAAATCTTGCAGCAGGTTCGGATAGACAGGGAATGAATAGATATGATATTTCAAGTGACCCAGTAGATTCAAGCACAGGTATTTTCTGTGGAACACAGGTAATCATTCACACACTTTCACAACAAATCAACAGGCTCGGGTGCAGATTATATGCCACCATTTGTGACTGTATTCGCATGGTACCGCGTTCAATGAACGCGCTTGAGCCTTGAATAAAATCTTTAACTTTACATAAATGAGCTTGAAAGAAGTATTCGAACAACATCCATGGAGGTCATTTAAGAAGTTCAATGAAGCAGCAAAAAGTTGGGGATTTACTAACAGAGCTGAAGTGAAAAAGTTCTTTGACAAAAATGTTGTACATCAAACAAAAATAAACCCTTACGACTACTTTTTACCAATTTACTCCAACACTCCTGACGCATACCAATTTGACACTCTCATTCAA